GAGACAAAAGCTCAGATGTGGGAGGAGTTTGGTGAGACCTTGGATAGAGACTCTTGGTCGGCTCCGAGGAGATTCTGGCAAACCATCAGGTGGCTGAGGAGGGGAAAGCAGCACTTTACTAACACTGTGTTCAGTGACGGTGGGGTACTATTGACCTCAACCAGTGATGTCATCGGGAGGTGGAAAGAATACTTCTTGGACCTTTTCAATCCCACCAGCACGTCTTCCATGGAGGAAGTTGAGTCGGGGGACTTTGCAGTTGATCGTCCATAACTGTGGCTGAGGTCACCAAGGTAGTTAAAAAGCTCTGAGGCAGCAGGGCTCCAGGAGTGGATGAGATTCACCCTAATTTCCTTAATACTCTGGATGTTGTGGGGTTGTCTTGGCTGACATGCTTTTTCAACGTTGCGTGGATATCGGGGAAAGTGCCACTAGATTGGCAGACTGGGGTGGTGGTTCCCCTCTTCAAAAAGGGGAACCGGAGGGTGTGCTCCAATTATAGGGGTATCACTCTCCTTAGCCTCCCTCGTAAGGGGTACTAGAGAAGCGAGTCCGATCATTGGTCGAACCTCAGATCCAGAAGGAACAATGTGAGTTCCGTCCTGGCCGTGGAAAACTGGATCAGCTCTTTACCCTCACTAAGGTCCTCAAGGGATCATGGGAGTTTGCCCATCTAGTCTACATGTGTTTTGTGGACTTGGAGAAGGCAATTAACCATGTTCCTTGGGGTCCACTGTAGGGGGTGCTCTATGAGTATGGGATTGGAGGCCCATTCTTACAGGCTGTTCAGTCTCTATACAAGCAGTGCAAGAGTTTGCTTTGCACTGCCGGTAGTAAGTCGGACCACTTCAGGGTGGGAGTTGGAATCCGTCAGGGCTGCCCATTGTCACCGATTCTGTTCGTAACTTTTATGGACAGAATTTCTCGGTGCAGCCAGCTGGTGGAGGGTTTCCGTTTCGGTGGCCTCAGGATTCCATCTCTGCTCTTTGCAGATGATGTGGTCCTGTTGGTGTGATCCTACCATGATCTTCAGCTCTCACTGGAGCGGTTCACAGCCGAGTGTGAAGCGGCTGGGATGAGAATCAGCACCTCCAAATCTGAGGCCATTGTCCTCAACCGGAAAAGGGTGGATTGCTGTCTTCAGGTCGAAGGTGAGGTTTTGCCTTAAGTGGAGGAGTTCAAGTATCTCAGAGTTTTGTTCACGAGTGAGGGAAGAAAGGAGTGTGAGATTAAAAGATGGATTGGTACAACATCTGCAGTATTGTAGACGCTGGACTGGTCCTTTGTGATGACGAGAGAGCTGAACTGTAAGACAAAGCTCTCTGTTTACTGGTCGGTCTTGTAAGGGTCCCACTGCCTGCAGCCTGCCTTGCTGATGGCCGCTGATTACCAACACCTGGCGGCCATCAGCCTGATGAGCCTCTCCATCTACTTAAGGCTGCAGTCCGGTGTGATTCGACGCTGGAGCATATCACCTCTTATGGTATAGTACTGTTGTGAGGCAAATGTCTTGGTGAAAAGAATTTGTTCACCTTTTGCTCTTTTTTCCAGTTTCCTGGTTCCTCGTGCTCTTTGGATTCCCTCGTGACCTGATTTGGATCCCTTGGCCTCTCAGGTATTCCTCGTGCCTCTTTGCCTCCAGTGCCAGCCTTCCTCGTTCCCCTTTTGGACTCTTGTTGGATTTCCCTCTGCTGCTCGCTCTCCTTGGACTGAAGGACCAGCTCTCCCCTACGGGTTGGACTGTAAGGACAAACGCTCATTAATCAAACAACTTTGGCCTTCCCCGTTGGACAGCTAATAACCTGTCGTCCCTCTTTCCAGGAGCCTCAGAGGAGCAGCCTGTGCATGTCATTTAACTCACTGTAAATAATAAACACTGTTCTTTTGTATTTCCCCTTGTGTCTGCCTCGTTCTGGGTCTCATATCATCTGGGTTCCCCGTGCACTCCTAACAGGTCTACGTTCCTACCCTCACCTATGTTCATGAGCTCTGGCTAGTGACCGAAAGAAAGATATTGCAGATACAGGCTGTTGAAATGAGTTTTGTTGGATTTCATATTTTTATACCTTCTTATATTTCCTATCAAGCATTCAAATGTCATGTTATACAAAGTGTGTGTGTGTGTCTTTCTTCCAGGGTTGCACTATATTTATAGAAAATGTTTGCTAATTCTAACTAGTTGACCTTTAAATATAATCTCATATTAGCTAAGGATAATTTTACAAGTTCACATTTGATATATTACAAGCAATCAAATCATGACAGATAGCAGACTGATTAACATAAATAAAGCTAGAACACATTTCTTTAATTTAGACAATATAGTTTGACTAAATAAGATCCCTCAGGATCTCTCTTAATAATAACCATTAACATTTAATGATTGTTGAATACAGGGTCGGTTTAGCTGAGAGGACACAGAGTTAATTGTCACAGTAAGCTACAACAGCAAAAGTATAAAAAGGATCAAGTAAGAACACGCAAACATGAGTTAGATAACAATTAATAGTTATTAATTATTCCTAGAAATAAACAACTTTAACTCAAATCATTTGGTATCGCTAAGGTATAATCACGTTAAACAAACAGCTAAAACGAACGATTTCAGTGAGGCAAAACTTCTTATCTGAAATGTAGATATTAACGTCCTTGAGGGGGCGGGCTAGAGTCGTAACCCTAGCAACAGAAGCTAAACCAATCAGAAAGCTAGCCTTCTCAAACTGTGATAAAAGGCCGGAAATGACACACGCCCACCGAGCATTTCCGGGAGGCGCACACCGAGACGGTTCGTTCTTTAATGCTCCAAAATATATGCATATATTTTAATAATGTAATTGTTTGTCTCTGAATATCTGTAACCCATGTTTTGTCAAATAAATCTTTTATACCGAGGGCGACGTCTCAGCTGTTTTGAACACGACGTGGTAACCAGCCACGACAGTTTCCTCCGCAGGGTAGCTGGATTCTTCCTTAGAGATAAGGCGAGAAGTTCAGTTATCAGGAGAGACTCAGAGTAGAATCGCTAATCCTTCATGTCGAGAGGAGCCAGTTGAGGTGGTTCGGGCATCTGGTAAGAATGTCCACTGGGCGCCTCACTAGGGAGACGCTTCGGGCATGTCCAACAGGGAGGAGATCCCGGGGAATACCCAGGATATGCTGAAGAGACTATGTCTCTCGGTTGGCCTGGGAATGCCTTGGATTCCTCCCAGAAGAGCTGGAAGAGGTGGCTGAGCCTCCCTGGTCAAGCTGCTGCCCCCGCAACCCGACTTCGGAATAAGTGCAAGATAATGGATATGTATAAATTGTTTTAGTTGTGTAAGATAACTATTTTAAAGTTAATGATGAGTAAAGTTGTTTCTTTCAAAAATGTATGGTATGGTATGGTATAAAGTTTATTCATTTTTAAAAAGTACAGAACAATTCCATAACAATATAAAAAAAGATACAAGAGATTTAAAATGAAAGGCAGCAGAAAGAAGAAAAAATCTTATTATATCTGCCCCTTTTTTCAAACAATTATTTCAATCATAATAATTTTCAAGTAACAGAACAAAATGAATAACTTTCTAATTTTTCTAATTCTAATACAAAAAACACACTAAGCTACTTCATTTTTTATTTTTTTTAACAATCCAGTTTTGATCCATCCATCCATTATCTTTACCCGCTTATTCCATTTTGGGTCACGGGAGTCGCTGGTGCCCATGTCCAGCAATCACTGTGCGAGGGGCGGGGGACACCCTGGACGGGTCGCAAGTCCATCACAGGGACACATAGAGACAAACGAGACAAACAACCATTCACTCTCTCTCTCACACCTAGGGACAATTTAGAGTTACCAATCAGCCTAACATGCATGTTTTTGGTCTGTGGGAGGAAACTGGAGTACCCGGAGAAAACCCACGCATGCACGGAGAGAACATGCAAACTCCACCCAGAAAGGCCCCTGGGCCGGGGTTTGAACCAAGGACCTGCTCGCTGAGAGGCCCAGTTTTGATCTTTTTTTTAAATGTACACATTGACTTGGCATTTTTGACATCGCTCTCTAGACCATTCCACAATCCAACTCCTTGGATTGAGGTAGACCTTCCCTTCAGACTAGTTCTGAATTTTGGTTTGACAAATATCTCTATCCCCTTAAGATTATAACAACTTTGTCTTTTAACAAAATTTCTTTGGATATTTAACGGTAATGTGTTATTTTGAGAAAAATGTTGTCTCTGATTAATGATGTATTTCTGCTGTAGGGGTGCATGAATTCACAAATATTACCGTTACTTCCGGTGTTGGACTGGAAGTTTTTTGCATATTTGTTTCTACAGTACAGGCACCAGGAATAACGTGGATTGATCTGGATAATGAAAATAAGCCTCTTTCAATAATTAACTAGCTCCTAGTGTTAACAATGAAGCATTTAAATTGAAGGTACATTGAAATGGTGAAATGCAATTGCTATATTGTGTGCTAAGATGCACTAGGTTAATCTTGAATGTAGTACTCCCTACCACCTTGTGCATATTGTGCTTTTCCAAATATGTGTATTCTGCTTTTTTATTTCATGTGTCTTTCTCCTGTATAATTACATTTGTAGAACATGCTACTGGATGCCTCAAATTTCCCCCCAGGCATTAATAATCAATCAATCAATCAATCAATCAATCAATCTATCTATCTATCTATCTATCTATCTATCTATCTATCTATCTATC